CCGCCCAGCCCCGCTCGGCTCCAGCGCAGCTCCGGGAGGTGAAACCATTCCCAGATGCGTTTGGCTCGAGAGAAAACAACTGAGCTCATGGTTGTCCCTGTGCCAGGAGCTCCATCCCGGCCCCCGGAGCTGACAGCGCGATTTATGTTCGGAAACGGAGCAAATCCGACAGCTCCCGCTCCTTCCTAACTGCGGGTTTTGTGTAGGAGCGGCTCTAAATCCTCCTCCCCGTCCCTGCTCCGCCTGGGAAAGCAGAATTTAATGGGTTTTGCTGATGGAGAATGGAGAAATTTGGGTTTTTGAGAGGTTTTGTGGCTCGGTGAGGGAACGGTCGAGTGGAGTTTTTCAGTTCCCGTCGGCCCGAACGGCGCCTCCCAGTTTAACCAGTCTGCTCCATCCCAGGCAGAGGCGACGGGCAGCTCAAAACTTCGGTTTTTGTAAGGGAAACCCTCGGGGTTTGTTTTTTTTTTCCTTGGAAAAGCCGGGATTTGAAAGGCTTTGTTCGGGGTTTTTTTTCCCCCCGAAAAACCGGGATCCCGAGATCTTTGGTCGGGTTTGTTTTTCCCCAGAAAAGCCGGGATTTGAAAGGCTTTATTTGGTTTTTTTTCCCCCAGAAAAGACGGGATTTGAAGGGTTTTGTCGGGTTTTTTTTCCCCCAGAAAAGCTGTGACCCCGAAATCTTTGGTCAGTTTTTTCTTCCCCCCGGAAAAGCCGGGATCTAAAGGAATTTTAGGATTTCAGGAAGGAATTTCAGGAATTTCTCAGGGTTAGACAGCTCAGCTCCCATCCCCGAGGAGCCCCAACCTCTGCTTTTTGGGATTTGGGTGAATTTTCCCAGAATTTGGGTGCAAGGATTTGTTCAAATCACAGAATATCCCAAATTCTCTTCCTCCAACCCCTTCCCACATCCTCAGGACCCCCCTGTGATGAAATTCCCTCAATCCTCACCAGCAGGAACGGTTTAAATTCCAACTTGACCCGAAATTGCTCTCCCAGCTGGAATTTTCATTCCGAATTTTCATTCCCTGCTCTGCTTTGCCCCGAGCGACATCACCCGGAACTCCYTTGGGTGCTAAAAACCCAACAGCAGCAAAAACCTGAGTTCCTGGCTGCAAAAATCACCTGAATTCTGCAAAAATCAGCTGAATTCTGCTAAAAAATCAGCTGAATTCTGAAAAAATCAGCCGAATTCTGCTTTTTTTTCTTTTTTCCCCCGACATCTTCGYGGGGGCTCGAGGTGGGGTTTTTCTCCTCTCCCGGGCCGTTAACTCCATCCAGATGTGGACGCCTGGTGAAATTTCCAGCATGAGGTCATTGTTTGCTATTCTGAGGCATCCCCGTGGCTGCTCCTCGTTTTTTTTTTCTGTTTTTCTGCCGTTCCTGGAGCTCTCTGGGCCCGTCCGGGAGAGGTGAAAATTCTCTTTCAGGTTCGTCCCTTCCATCCCGAGCGTGGCCGGGAATTTGCCGGCGCTTTGCTGTCGCATCCTCCCCGCGTTTCATTTTTAAATTTTAATTCTCAATTCCGATTTTTCCCTCGTTTTTGGGGATTCCTGGCATTTTTGCTTTTCCACAGAAGGGTTTTGATGGTTTCTTTCCCCCCAGGACAGGCAGGTCTCCCGTTGCTGCTCCCGGGGATGGATCTCAGCCCCGCTCATCCTTTACCAGCAGCAGCCGCTCCCTCTCCAGCCCGCCTGGATCCTTCCCCAAAGCTCATCCCGGGAAAATCGCCTTCCAGGAAGGATTAGCGGGCGGCTGGGAGCCAGGAGAGGCTGGAGAAACGCTGAGCTGGGCAAAGGGGACAACAAAATCCCCTCAAACCGTGACCCTACAAATCSACCCCAACGGGATCAGCCGGGAAAAACCCCGCTGTAATTCCCAAAAAAAAAAAAAACCTGGGAAAGGCTCTTTGTCCCGTTCCAGCTGCTCCCGGCGCTCTCTGAGCCGCAGAGGAGCAGAATCGCTGAATTTCTCCCCAAATTCCGCCCTCCYGGCTGTGCCATTTCTCGCAGCTCATCCCCTCGCGGCTCCTGGAGGCTCCTGGAGCGACCCAACGGAGCCACGTGGAGATCGCGGCGGGGCGGGGGCTCCCTCAGCCTGCCCTGGGTTTTAAAATCCCTTTTTGGGGCTGATTTTACCCAAATTGTCATTCCCTGACTCTGAGCTCCAACAGCCTCCCCAGTGGGATGAAGTGGATTCCCTCCTTCCTGGTTTAGAGCTTTCCCCGTGTTTTTAACTCCTTTTTGGGGCTAATTTTACCCAAATTCTCATTCCCTGACTCTCAACTCCAACAACCTCTCCGTTGGGATGAAGCAAATTCCTTCCCTTCCGAATTTACAGCTTTCCCTGAGTTTTTACCTCATTTTTGGGGCTGATTTCACCCAAATTTTCATTCCCTGACTCTCAACTCCAGCAACCTCCCGTTTGGGGCAGAGCAGATTCCTTCTCTTCCCAATTCAGAGCCTCCCTATGATTTTTAACTCATTTTTGGGGCTGATTTTACCCCGATTTTCATTCCACTGACACTCAGCTCCAACAACCTCTCAATTGGGATGGAATGGATTMCTTCCCTTCCTGGTTCAGAGCCTTCCCCGTGTTTTTAACTCCCTTTTTGGGGYTGATTTCACCCAAATTTTCATTCCCTGACTCTCAATTCCAACAGCCTCTCCATTAGGATGCAGTGGATTCCTTCCCTTCCTGGTTCAGAGCCTTCCCATGGTTTTTGACTCTTTTTTGGGGCTGATTTTACC